AAAAGAAAAGTCTCCTTCGTTAGAGACGGATAAGGAAAAATCACCATCACCTGAATTACAAAAAGAAAAGTCTCCTGCGTTAGAACCTGAAAAGAAGAAATCACCATCACCTGAATTGCAAAAAGAGAAATCGCCATCACCTGAATTACGAAAAGAAAAATCGTTAACTCCTGAAATACAAAAAGAAAAGTCACTTTCTTTAGAATTGGAAAAGGACAAAGCTCTAGTACCAGAGACTGAAAAACAAAAGTCCCCTACACCAGAGGAAAAGAAAGAAAAATCTCCCACGCTCGTAACTGACAAAGATAAAATTTCTGTATCAGAGACAGAGAAGAAAGAGTTACTTTCTCCAGAATCTGAAAAGGAAATACCTATGAAAGATAAATCTCCAATGCTAGAATCGCAAAAAGACAAATCGCCTTCGTTGGAGAAAGAAAAAGAAAAAGAAAAATCTCCTTCTTCCGAATTACAAAAAGATAAATCTATTTCACCAGAATTAGAAAAGGAAAAGTCACCTGTTCTAAAGGAAGAAAAACCAAAAGTTCCTACTTTAGAAGTACAAAAAGAAAAATCACCTACACCAGCACTGGAAAAAGAAAAATCAGCATCCCCAGTAGAAGAAAAAGAAAAATCTGTATCTCCAGTTGGCGAAAAAGAAAAATCCCCAGAAAAGGAAACAGATAAATCAAAATCTCTATCGCCAGAAAAAAAGAAGGAAAAATCTCCAGAAAAAGAAATAGATAAATCAAAGTCTCTTTCACCAGAGATGGAAAAAGAAAAATCTCCAGTACCACAAGTTGAGAAAGAGAAGTCGCCGTTACCTGCAACAGAGAAAGAAAAATCACCTTCGCCAGTAGCGGAAGAAATAAGATCATCTCCGTTAGAAAAAGAAAAGGCAAAATCTGAGTCACCAGTATCGGAGAAAGAAAAGTCAATTGAAGCAGAAATAAGGAAAGACGAAATTAGTGCTGTTGAAACAGAACAACAAAAATTGCGTTCACCAGTATCTGAAAAGGAGAAATCACCTGAATTAGCAGAAGGAAAACAGAAATCGCCTTCTCCAGTATCAGAGAAGGAAAAATCTCCGGAACTAGAAGCAGAAAGAAAGAAGTCGCCTTCACCAGCATCTGAAAAAGAGAAATCACCAGCATTAGCAGAAGAAAAACAAAAATCGCCTTCACCGGTATCTGAAAAAGAGAAATCTCCAGCATTACCRGAAGAAAAACAAAAATCGCCCTCACCGGTATCTGAAAAAGAGAAATCTCCTGCAGCAGAAGCAGAAAAACAGAAATCGCCTTCACCAGTATCTGAAAAAGAGAAATCACC